ACGAGGGAAGCCTTTGCCGACCGATCCCTTATGCCTCGTGAAACGAGGTTTACAGGATCGGTTGGCAAACGCTTTCCTTGCTGACTGATCCGTGTCTTGACTACCGCGTTGTGCCGACGATCAGCTGAGCCGGCCCAGCGCGGCGCCCATTTTTATTTTAATGAAGCGGAAGATATTTAAATCCCCACTTCATTGACTATGTTGGGTAGTCTAATTTACATGCCTCTGCCGGCAGAGGCATGTAGTCTAGACATACCCTCAGAAGTGGAAGGAGAAAGAGGCCAATGAAATCAACTGAATCCCCCCCCGCAACTTTCGGATCAGGCACTTGGATTAGAGATGAAAAGTCAATCTGGAGCAATTGCCTAATGGATGATAAATTTGCAGTTGAGATAATGCGGTTAAATGAATCATATTTCAAGGCTGTGGGCTTTTTATTTAGGTCTTTGTCAATGCGCCACTAGGATAGGAAATGTGTAATGCTGGTCAAAAAGTAGATGACGAAACTTTTTGCTTTTGAAATAAGCCAGTTGTATTTAATCTGAATTTTAAAAATGGCAATTGCCTAATGGATGATAAATTTGCAGTTGAGATAATGCGGTTAAATGAATCATATTTCAAGGCTGTGGGCTTTTTATTTAGGTCTTTGTCAATGCGCCACTAGGATAGGAAATGTGTAATGCTGGTCAAAAAGTAGATGACGAAACTTTTTGCTTTTGAAATAAGCCAGTTGTATTTAATCTGAATTTTAAAAATGTATCGGGGGTGGGGGGGGGGGGGGGGGGGAAGAGACCCCAGAACAGCCAAATTATTAGAATAGCTGAGTGTCCTGACACTCATGGGTGATGTGGGAGAATTAAATCTCGATCTCCCACATCCTAGTTGAGTGCCCAGTTACTGGCTGTTCTGGAGTCTGTCTGGCTCTCTCTGAAAAAAATTCAGAAGGTCTGCATTAAACCAACAAATTTTTTAAATCTCAAGATTTATAGTTATATAGAATTGTTGTTTTCCTGCCAGCCCTAGAAATTTGTTAGGAATATCTTTCCCCGTTCCAGTGAACTGAATGATGGGGGTTTTTTTTTTCAAATATTATATACATAATTTGTTTTTTTAATAAATAAAAGTCATTTCACTGATAGAGGAAGAAAGTCTTGGTTGATTAATTTATGCCGAAAATGTTGTTTAATGGTATATCCTTGAAAAATCAACAAAAGTTCCAAAAGCACTGTCTTTTGCATTGTACATATCTGACTATTCTTAGGTTAATGCAGCACCCAAAACACAAATGGATGTATGTAATATCTGACTGTTGCAAGTCTAGGTTGCTTGTAAAAATGTCTAGAGTTTACAAGAGAGAATTACTGTGAAATCCTTAATAAACAAATATCCCATTTGTATCCCCACAGAACTGTAGCCTTTTGGGAAATCATTAAATCCATCTCTGTGTTGTCTAGTTTGCATTCTCCTTCTGATTTTTTCCCCTTCTTTTAAATGCATGTTTATTGTTCTTTTAACAAAGTACATAAACCCCCGACCACCAGCAGCAACAAAGCAACAAAACAGACCATATTTTCTTTGTGGCAACAGAGTTCATGTCAGTCCTGAAATTATTATAATATCTGATAACAATGTTCCCCTCGCACTCTGACAATCCCAGCACTACATCTTGTCTTCTTGGGAAAGCTAGAACATTATAGGACATTATAGACTAGTATAGCTCTCTGCCCTGGTCTACACTAGGACTTTGGTCCAAAATAACCCCCTCAAGGTCGAATTAGTAAGCGGCACGTCCACACTACCAAGCCTGTTATTTAAGAATAACGGGCTGCAGAATTCAAACTCTGTAGTCCTGCTTTTCATG